CACACACACACACACACACACACACACACACACACACACACACACACACACACACACACACACATACACACACACACACACACACACACACATACACTGTGTGTTTGTGCGCTTTTGTTTTTCTGTGTCTGCGCGCTTTCTGTGCAACTTTTTCATCACGGCTGTACATCCCGTGTGTTGTTTTTCTTGTCTTCCCTTCCTGCCCCCGTTCCCATTATCCTGCTTCAGCCCTTGCCCAACCTCACACCGTGCTCGTGCTGTTGCACTCTCTCGCGCGTGCTGTACGTATCCAGGTATTACACGACATCGCAGTCCCCAGATGCGTTTGCAATCTTCGACAACAACTACCTGCTGCCCAGGATATTTGGCGAGGAGGGCACTGCGATCAAGCTGGCCGTCTCCTACGCCATCGCCACGTCTGTCAAGCTCGAGACGTTTGAAGTCGGTCAGTACAACACTTACACGTGATTGCGTCATGTGTGATGTGATGTGATGTGTGTGTGTGTGATGTGTGAACGGATCTGTGTACACATTGCTCTTTCGTCGCACGTGCGTGTTGTTCTATGCACGTGTACACGTTGTGTGTGGCTGCCTCCTTTAATATCTCTTTGCGCTCCTTCTGGCCGTTCCACTCGCCCCTTCACTCTCCCATTGCTCTGCGTGCTCATGACATCACGCACTCATGCACACACCCGCACAACCCACCTGCACGTCCATCCCCGACCTGTTCCCAAGGCATCGAGAAGACAATTGCGGCCACACAGCACATTCCGCAGGAGCTGGCAACAGAGGGCAAGATGGCGCTGAGCAAACAGGAGATTTCAAAGTACATTGGCGAGCTTTACATCCAGAAATCGTCTGTCAACCTCATCTACGACATTCTCGACACGCCCGACCACTTTTGGGATCAGCAGCATGGTGAATGGGTGTACACAAAGTGCAGAAAGTTCCTCAGCATCGACCAGCGTGTTGATGTAAGTGGTTGCCCCGACACGCGCGTGTGTGTGTGTGTGTTTGGATGAGTGAGTGTGTGTTTGTACCTGCGCACGTGTTCGTTTCAGTGTCCTCTTGTTTCTTGCGCATACACGCTGTTGATGGCATGGCAGTGTGATTTCAATTCCCTTTCAACTCCCTTTCAACTCCCTTTCAACTCCCTTTCAACTCCCTTTCAACTCCCTTTCAACTCCCTTTCAATTCCCTTATGGCTGTTGTCCTCACACTTCATGTCACCACTCGCACCACCACACCGTCCGCTCTCAACATTTTTCAGGTGCTGAACAAGCGCTTGGATGTGCTTGCAGAGTTGCTCGACATTCTTCGCACAGAGAAATCAGAACAGCACAGCACCCGTCTCGGTACGCATTTGATACTGTTGTACTTGTAAATACTCACGCCGTTCTTGTTGTCGTGCACCTTCGTTGATTGATTGCGCTGTCTGTCTCTCTCCGCGCCTCATGTAATGCATTTGTTCGTGTACCTGTGTGCCCGCGTATGTGTTGTTGTTGGCATGTGCAGAATGGATCGTCATTATCCTGATTGTCGTCGAGGTGAGTCTTGCTTGGTAGCGAGCACATGTCATGGACAAAGAGTTTCAACTCCCCCCCCCCACACACACGCGCGCACCTACACACCTATACACACACACACACACACACACACACACACACACACACACACACACACTCACACACACACACACAAACACAAACACACACACACACACACAGTGTGTGTCCTCACACAATCAACCATTGCTTTCCTGTGCTCCCTCTTTTTCAGGTGATTCTCGGCCTTGTGGACATCATGTACAACGCGTTTGCCGATGGCCACGTCGATGTGCTTTAACCGGCCGAACACATACTCGAGAGCGACGGAACAGCGCCACTCGTTTTGACAATACGGCACCACCAACACCAAGCCCCCTCCCCTCTTGCTGCTTGGTTCATGTGTCAAATCCAACACCACACCACCACAACCACGACCACCGCCACTCGACTGGCGCAAGCCACGACGTGTTGTGTTGTTACCTTCCCAGCTTCCACATCCCCACCCATTTCCCACACTGTGCCTTGCTTGCGAGTCACACTGTAGTGGCTGCTGAGGGTGATGGCTCTTCTTTGTTTGTGTTTTGTGGGATACGTGTATTGTTGACGATGAGAACCAAACAAGAAAGTAGTCGACAGTAAAAGGACCAACCACCGCAATGAAGAAAGAATATGGGCTGCTACTGTGAAGAGAAAAAACAACAAAACAAAAGAGAAATGACCAAGCGAGAAGGATGCATGCAGGCAAAAGAAGAAGCAAATTTGGGGCTTGCCGTGACATGCACTCGCATAACACTCACGCTAAGCCATCCCCATGCACAGACTCGAACACCTAAAGACACACACACACACACACACACACACACACACACACACACACACACACACACACACACACACACACACACACACACACGGCAGACGTTTGCCACAAAAACACAAGAAGATACAAGAATAAAACGCTTTCGATGCACACACACTCACTCACTCTCACTCTCTCACACACACACACACACTCACACTCACACTCTCTCTCTCTCACACACACACATGCTCTCGCCGCCGAATCTAAGCAAACTCCGACACGTCAAACGTCTCATCGTAGACGTGGTCGGGCTGGTGTGGGTTGGACGGGTTGGCCATGCCAGAGAGGTTGGCGGAGCGGCGGCGTGAGCGAAGCGGCTTCGACAACATAAACTTGCCCGGCCCAACAGACAGCGTACTCCGAGGATCAGCGCTCGGCTTCTTGTCAGGCACGCGCGCAACCACAAGCTTCACCGTCTCGCAGCCGCTTGCCTCCTCCATCACCAAGTCCGCCTCGGTGCTGGTCAGGTCACGCATCTTGTTCAAGCCAACCGCCAGCACCTCGTCATCCGGCCGCACAATGCCAGCAGCGGGACCTTCCTCATCCACGCGCGAGACAAAGATGCCGGCCTCACCCGTCTCCGTTCCTCCGTAGATGCTGAACCCAACGCCTTCGCCCACCCGCTTGTACACCGTCAGTGGAAGGATGTCTTTCTTCACCTCCTGCTCCTCTTCTTGCGCCGGCGGCAGCGGACGCCGAGACCGCGGCTGCTGCTGCTGCTGCTGCTGCTGTGAGTCGGAGGGGAAGGTGTCCGTGCTCTCATCAGCATCATCATCCTCAGCTTCGCCATCGTTGTCGCCCGTGGTTGCTGCTGTCATTGCAAACGATGTCTCAGCGCTGCCTTCCGCCTCGTCCACCTTCGTCTCCGGTTCGGGCGAGCGCGAGTGTGACGACGACCCCTTCTCCTCCATCATCGTGCTCTCTGTCCACGCCGCGTCCTGCCCATCGTCCGGCACAAACTCAACCTCATCATCATCGAAGAACTGCAAGCCACCTTCGCCGTCCTCCTCCTCACCGTCACCGCCATGTTCACGCTCGCCGCTCGGGCCAGCGCCATCGCCATCGCCGGGTTCGCCCGGTTTCACGTCGAGATACTGCGACACGTGCTCAACAGCACCGCCAGTGTCCGTGCCAGGCTGCTCCGGTTCGGGTCTCACGTCCAGGTATTGCGGCTCATGCACTGGCTCGCCCCACGCTTCCTTGGACGATCGTGCCGACCGCGGTGGCGCCGCCTCCTCTTCTTCTTGTTGTTCTTCGTCGCGTTGTCCTGCACGCGTGTCTTCACGCTCGCCCTCTGGGCCCAGCGCCGCTCGCTCTTGGTCTTGTTCTCCTGCTCCTGCACCCTCCTCCTCGTCGCTGTAAAAGTCCTCGGATGAGCTCTCGTTGGCAGGATCAAACGGGTTTGGCACAAACGACGCGCGGCGGTCTTCGTCACCACCACCCTGACCCTTGTCAGCCATGGCCATGGCCAGGCCAGCACCAAGCATTTCGGTCGCTTCGTCCTCAGAGTCACTCGGAGGTCGCAGGTACGTGGTGGCAGGGGCGCCCGTCTCGCCATACAGACCCGTGCTGCCGCCCTCAACAGGCACCCGCTGCACGCTGTCCGTGTCGTCCACGGGCGGGTTGAGGTACGCGGATGTGGACAGGTGCGGGGGTGTCACCACCTCCTCCACCTTGCCACCGGGCGCGCCGTCGTCGCTCAGCACCACCTCCGTCTCCCTCAGGCCCTCTGCCTGCGATGTCGGTGTTGTTCCAAACGACGTCTCAAACATGTCCTCACCGCCCTCCGCCTCGCCTTGGCCCTGCTCCACGCCAACAGACTCCTGCAGGTCAAGCGAGATGGTTTCCACGTCTTTCCCGTTGGTCATGTCCTCCTCGCGGCTCACAACCTCAGGGAACGACGACACCTGCAGGAAGTTGTCCTCGTCGAGCGCCTGGGACGCAGCCAGTGACCCGCGCTTCTGTTTGCCAACCAGCGTCACGTTGCGCGTGTCGTGCTCGAGGCGATGTGGCTTGTGGTCGCGCACGTCGTACGTCATGGACCGACCAAACATGCCGTGGCCCGACTCCTCGTCGCCTTCCTCCGGCATGCGCCGCCGCCACACGTAGAACAGGCAACAGCAGCAGCACAGCAGCAGCAGCACGACCACCACAATCACGATGATGCCAGCTGCAGATTCAAAGAACGTCTCGGACTTTTGCGGCGGCCCAATCGTAATGGGGACACTGGTGGACGTTGAGCTGGTGGTTATTGGCGGCCTCCTGCTCGTCGTCGTGGTGCTCGTGCTTGTCGTCGTTGTTGCAGTCGTAGTGGTGGTGGTGGTTGTTGTTGTTGTTGTGGTGGTTGTTGTCGTCGTAGTCGTAGTGGTGGTGGTAGTGGTAGTTGTGGTGATGAGAATAGGTGAGCATGGCCCATCGAAGACGCTCGTTTCCACAAGAGGGTTGTACCCAGAGGGGCCAAACCGCACCGTGCTCTGTGCGACACCGCCAGCACCGTGTGTCACGTTCATCACCAGGCTGTTCGGGTATGTGAACGGTGAAACCCGATCTCCTGTCAGCACGAGCGAGCGTGACGGCGATGTGTTGCCAAGCGCATCTGTGGTCGCCTGAATCAGCGTCAGCGTCAGGTTGCCAAGCACCTCACGGGTGGTGAACTCCAGCTCCCACACGCCGCTGTTGGCAGCAGACGGCTGCGCACGCGCCAGGAAGCCGTCGAATGGGCTCGGCTTCAGCTGATCAAGGGATCCTTGCGAGAAGGACAGGTTGGACACAAGAGCGCCCAAGTCCATGCCCAAGCTCTCAAAGTCAACAAACACGTCCGTCTGCTCCGGAGGCGCAGGTCCAGACTTGGTGTACACATCCACGACAAGCCGGTACGTGCATGCGCCCGTGGGGCCCATGGCGGGGCGGCGCGACAGGCGTGGTGTGCTGACAAAGCGAAGCTGTCTGAAGTTGGTGCGCAGCAGGAACAGCGCGTCCAACGTGTCTGGCGTGCCAGAGTTGTCTGCATCCAGCTCCTCCAGCTGCTCTGGCGTCACACTCAACGGCCCGCTCGGGCTGTGCAAGCTGAGCAGGTATGACTGCAGGAACGTCACGTCGTTCAGGTCAAACGCGCAGTCCAGGTTGGTGTCACCACGCACGTACTCTGAGCACATGGCCCGACGCACGCGCGCAGCAGCAGCAACAGCCTCTGGTGGTGCTGATGATGACGATGACGATGCTGTTGCTGCTGCTGCTGCGTGTGTCAGCATCGCGCCGGTACTGCCACTGCTGTCGCTGCGACGGCGACGCGACACGGGCTGCACGCGAATGGGAATGTCTCCAGCCACCATTGGCCGAGGCGTGTCATCGCCAACAGGGTCCTGGTTTGCCGTGGCCAGCGTGTTGATGGTTCCGCTCATCACCGTGATCATGGGGTCAGAAACGGCATCAAGCACGCGCAGCGTCACCAGCGCAATTGTGTCCATGCCGCGGATGCCAGATGCAATGCCGCCAAACGCAATCTCGCCGACGGGGTCGTTGAGTGTCGCGATGAACGTCCCACCAATCCAGTCCGGCCCTCGCTCCACGCGCACAGCCTCCACGACGCTGGCGTTGTACTGCAGCGTCACGTCAACCGCGGCCACGGTGTACGTGCCCGTGTTCACACGCACGGCAAGCGTGAATTCGTCGCCAACCCGGTGCGGGCCACCATCAGCTGGACCTGTGCTGCTTCCAATGTCAATGTCACCCACAGCCGGCAGCAGGTTGGCAGCCATCACGATGCTGCGCGTCACGTTGGGGTTGAGTCTCGACTGCACCACCAGCTCCACGTAGCCTGCACTGTTGCCAAGCAGCGTCACTACACCGGTCGCATTGTCCACGACAAGCGCCGGGCCATTCCTGCCGCCGTTGTTCACCGCAGACAGTGTGAACTGAAGAAGAGGCAAGTTCGTGCGCAGGCGCGGCGTAAGCACATCCGCAGGCAGACGTGTGCCATCATCAAGCAGCACACCCGTGGTCACCTGCCCCTGCGAGCCTCGCTCGCCCTCAAACGTGTCGGGGAACGACACTTCATCAATGTCCCGCACAAACACCGGCGTTTGGCTGATGCCAATCTGCGTCGTGTTGCTGATGGAGCACAGCGTCGCGCGCACGAGCCCGCTGGGCGCCGCCGGATCCTCAACAGTCACCATGCGCGAGCCGGCAACAACCGACACGCTGCTGTTTGCAGCCTCTACCACAGCCGTGTCCGAGACATCAACTTGGCCAACAGGCGACGACACCACGAGAACCACAGACGCAAGCGCCTGCTGGTACACGGACGTGTCTGCAATCGGGTTGAGGGGACTGGCGTCCACATTGGTCGAGCCAGCAAACGCCGGGTAAGGGTGCAGCAACACCGAGAGCTGCTCCGCACGTACAACCGCCACACTCACAGTCTCCGCCAGCGGCAAGTGGGTAAACGACACACGCACGCCAGCAGCACCGGCGGTCGCCGTCGCGTTTGCAACAACCTCAATCGCGCCCGGGAGAGCGTCTGGTGCAAGCGACAGCCTGTCCTCGGCGTCAAGCACCGCGTCATCCACATCCACCACGGTCCGCGGATCGGCTGTTGCGTCAACGCGATGCCCGTCAGCGTACTCAAGCTGCACCACTAGCGATGTCCTCGTCGCCACACCAGCACACGCGGCTGGATCCGAGGCAGGGGTCAGCACGTTCGCTGACACGCCCACAATCACCCGCACAGGCTGCTGCAACGCAACAACAACATCCTGCATCCCAACAGCCAGCGCCTGCGTGCAGTTGGGTGGTGTCCAGGTCACGTTCACCGCAACAACGCCGCTGCCAACAGCCAAAGCAGAGAGAGCAGGCCCGCCACCTGCTGCTGCCGTGCCATCAACCTGCAGCACATCCGTGCTGTTGAAGGCCAGCACGACGCCGCGTGCGCGGTGGTCCAGATCCTCCCGCAGGCCGTCAGCGTACAGCACGCTGGCCTTGAATGCTGCAACATCGCCCTCAAACTCAAGTTGCGCCACCTTGGTCACGTTCACGGCAAAGCCATACGGGGATGCTGTCAGCGCCGTTTCCGCTCCAAGCCCAGTGACCATCTCCACGCCAATGCGTTCAATGCCCACAGGGGTGCTACTGACGTTGACGGCAGCAGTTGCTGCAACGTCGCCGCCAAGGAACAGCACGTCCACAAACGTCGTGCCAGGCGCAGTGCCGACAACATACAGCGTGCCGTCCAGCGTGGTGTTTAGCGTCGCAACGTCGCTGTCACGCACGCGCAGGAATGGCAGCACACGCTGCGTCACATCTACGCCAATGCTCGTCATGTCTGCACGCTCAATCACGGCCGTCACGCGGACACGGCTGCCCTGGTACACGGCTGTGGGGCAATCCGCGGGGGAAGCCACCGCATTCAGCTCAGCGTCATCGAGCACAACTGATAGCTGGTCAGCAATCACCGCCTCAAGCGTGTAGTTGGTGGCCTGCGCCCCCGAACTCGCTGCGCCAAAGGAAACTCGCATCGTCTGGCCCGGCACGCTCTGCGTCGCGTTCAGCACCAGTTGCGTGCAGTCTCCGCTCAGGGTGCCCGCGCTCGCCGGCACAACGGAGCAGGCTGCCGCGTCTGCTGCAGACACTTGGGCGCCAGTCAACACCTGCCCAGATCGGGTCAGCGCATTCAGCTGGACAGGCACAACCGTTGCGCCCAGCCCAAGCGACGCCGTGTTGAACGCACTCGATTGAAGCGTGGCAAATACGCCGACCACCACATCGTCACCAATGTACACAGACCCGCGCGGACCGGACTGCGTGCCGTCACGCGTCTCGTAGTACGCAAATGTTGGGTCGAATGTTCCCCGCAGCGAAAGGCGGTTGCTAAACTCATCTGCAAGCTCCTCCACAACAACGGACATGGAGCCCATGTCTGCCGTGACTGTTTCGTTCACTACAAACTCGATCTTGCATAACAACTGCTCGCCAGTGTCCAGGTTGCTGTCATCCGACACAATCGCGTTGATGGCCGCCGTTGTCGGCGAGAACACGTCAGACACGGCGTTCCAGTACTGCTCATCAACCCGCAGGCGCTCAACCACAAGGCTCTGTGTCACATTCACGGTCAGCGAGAACGCGGCGATGCTGCGGGCGAAGTTGGCGTAAACCTCCGCCTCGTACACCGTGCCCGGATACAGCGTCTGCCGGGGGAGCACAGCCGTCACTGCACGTGACTGCAGCGGTGATGGTCCAGCTGCAACGTCGACGCTCGCAAACACTCGCGCCGACCCAGGGCTGCCACCCGCATACGCAAGCACGTCAATTGTGCCCGGTGCAGCGTCAAGCCAGGTTTGAGGCACGGTCGCAGTCAGGGCGCACGTGCCATCAACCCCAGCCGTGCACTGATCCACCACTTCCTGACCACTCGCGCGATCACGCAGCACGACGACAACGTCTCCATCAACGAAGAACGACGAGCCAGCAGCATCACGGCCCTGAGCAAGCACAGTCAGCGTTGGGTTGTCGGTTTGAAGCACTTGTGGCGTCACAAACACGTCCACGTCGGAAATGGAAGCAGCAGAGAAACGGGGGCTGGTGAACACGGTCGACACGTCTCCAAGCTGGGTCTGACCGCGTGCTGAGAACAGCGACGTAACGGACACATACTGACTCGGGTCATCCGCCGTGGCAAACAGCGATGGCGAAAACGGTGGCAGGAGGGAAAACGTGGGTGGGTGCGAGTAGGTCACAACCGGAATGGGCTCACACACCGGGGGTGATGTGAGTGTTGCATTCTCCACGAGACGGAAGCCAACAGGGCACCCCTTTGCGGCCTGGCACTGCAGGCTGCTGAGGGTGTTGTTGAAGGCCGTGAAGGGGTCGTACCCAGCGCCAGCAACAAACTCAATCGTCGTCTGCGCGTTCACAACAAGGTCAAACCGAAGCGGGCTCGTGAACCGGAACTTGGCAGGGTCCGGGCTGCCCCCGAGAATCGGCGTCGTGCGCGCATTCGCACCAACCCCAGACGGTGACACCGTGCCCTGGATCAGCGACAGCCCAATGTTCTCCAGCGAGATCCCCGTGGCAACACGCACGCCAAAGTACCCCTCGTCACCAAGCGGCGCAGCGCGCCACAGCCCGCCGTTGTACCCGGCACCCTTGTTCAGCCCAGCAACAGCGCTGCCAACAACAACAACGCTGCTCGCAAACGCAGGTGCAAGCGACGCGTCCTCGCTCTCAATGTCAAAGTACAGGAACGTCTGGTTCGTGTTTGCCGGTGAGTCGCCAGCACCAGCGCCGCCAGCAATCAGCCGCAAGCTGATGCTCAGCTCGCACGCGTCCAGAGACTCCCCGACACTCTCCACGCTCAGGTTGGCAAAGAAGTGGTACAGCCCAAAGTTAACCTTCAGCAGGAAGTCCACGTCCTGCGTGTTCACGGCATCGTTCTGGTCCGCGTCCAGGTTGACCAGCTGCGGCTCCGTCACCTGCGCAAGCTGCGCAGTGTCCTCAAGCGCAACCCAGTTCAGGTACATGCGCGCAAAGCTCACGTCCCGCACATCAAACAGGCAGTCACCGTCCGTGTCGCCCGTCTGCCGCACAGGGTCGCATGTCAGGCACGGCTTGGGCGTGCACGAGTCTGCGCGTCGCACCCGCACAGCCTGCTGCTCACGGCGTCGCTCGCTGCGTCGCTCCCGTGCGGCCTGCACCCACTCTCGTCCACTCAGCAGCGCTGCAGTGACGGTAGTGCCGTCAGCGCTGGCTGAGGCAGCGATATCACGCCGACGTCGCCCGGGCCCGCTGCCAGTCAGCACCTCAACAGCGCCAGCAACAAACTCAGTGCCGTCAGGGATAATCGCAGCCCCGTCCGCATCGCTCACCGTCGTCACAAACCCGCCCAGCGACGCAAGCCCATCGCCAAGTACCTCAAACTCAACAACAGCAAGCTCGCGCGTCCCGCTCACAGGATCGCTTGCCCCGCCAAACCGCGCCATCCCAGGCGTGTCCAGGTTCCCCGTAAACGGGCCACCAGGCCATCCGCTGCCCGTCTCAACACCCACGGCACGCAGCAGGCCCGCGTCATACTCAACAGTCACGTCCATCGACGCAAGCTCCCGCGACCCAAGCGCAACACGCACGCTCAGGCTGAACCGCGCCCCAACGCTCACAGCAGGCACAGGGACTCCAGTCGCCGACCCAAGGTCAATGTCCCCAGTCACAGGCGAGAGGTTGCACGCAAACATCCGCGATGCGCTCGCGCCCGTGTCCACTGCACGCGCCGTCAGCGTCACCTGCTCGTACCAATTGCCCTCAAGCTGCACAAGCCCAGACGCCCCGTTCACGCTCGCAGCAAGCACCTCGCTCGTCTCAAACATCAGCACGTTGCTCAGCGCAAGCGTCCCAGACGGAAACAGCGCCCCGCTCGTCCACCGCGTCCCGTCAGACAGCGTTATCCCGCACACCGCCTGCGACCGGCTCACGCCCGCCTGTCCGCTCAGCGTCGACACAAAGCTCAGCCCGTCCACGCTCACCACGCTCAGCGTCTCGTTGCTCAGCCGCATCTCAACGCCGGCGCTCGTCACGTTGCTCTGCCCAGCAAACGTCGACCCAAACACGCCCCGCACAACAACAGAGGCAGGCCCCGTCGCCGTCCCCACCCGCTGCACGCGGTTCGTGCCAACCACCGCCAGCACGTCAGGCCGGCTCAGCTCGTACGCCATCGCTCCAGCAGTCGCAACGCCGTACTGCCGCCCGTCGCTGATCGTAATCACAGCGTCAAACACCGCCCTCTGGTACACCCCAGATCCGGCGATCGGGCTCAGCTCAGTCTCAACAACGCTCCCAGACCCGCTGTACGTCGGGAACGGCCGCGGCGTAATCTCAAGCCCAGTCGCAACAACAACCTCCACGCTCGCGCTTCCCGTCACGTTCACGTGCGTGAAGTTCACCCGCAGCTGTCCCGTGCCCACGTTCCCCGTCGGCACAAGCCGCACAGCGCTCTCCCCACGCACAACTCGGAACACATCAGAAACGTCCGCGCTCACGCCGTCGTACATCGTGCGGCCGTCGGTCGTCATCTCCTGTCGCCGCCCGTCCGCAAACTCAAAGTACACGCGCACGCTCACAGACAACGGCGGGCCCCCCGGAATGCTGGCCGCAGCGTCCTCGGCGTACGTCATGCTTGACGAGCTCAGGTCGACAATCACTCGCTCAGGCAGCGGCAGCACGATGTCAACCTGCCCAAGCCCGGCCCCAATCACAGGCGCCGTGCCGTTGCACCCGCTCTCGTCGTACCACGTCGCCTCAAGCAGCAGGCCCTGGCCCGTCCCAACTGCCTCAATGTCCTCGTCCGCTGCCCGCATCGTCTCGTTCACAATGCGCACAACAACGGGATCCCGGCTCCCAAGCACAAGGCCCATTGCCTCCGTCACGCCAAGCCGCGTGCCATCAGACAGCACAGCCTCCGTGTACACGTCCGCGCGCTCAAACTCCTGCGTCAGCCGCTGCTGCACCATCGCAACAGCCGCCACCTCGTCCCCAAGCTCAACGCTCGACGGCACTCCGCTCAGCAGCACGTCGCCAACAACGTGCGCCTGCAGCCGCTGCACAGAGACCGTCTCATCAGCAACCTGCACAAGCACGCTCACGCCAGCATCAGTCTGCAGCCGCACGCTCGCAGTTCCTGCCGACACGCCCTGCACCTCGAGCCCAGCCACCGTCATCACACCGCTGTCGTTGCTCTCAAGGTACCCAGACACCTGCTCGTCAACCACGGCCTCAAACCGATCCGCGCCGCTCACAAACACACCCCGCGCGCGCACGCGCGAGCTCTGGAAGCGGTCCATGCAGCCCGCAGAGGAATCGCGCCACCCAGCCACGCGGCTCAGCCGGTCATCGTCCACAGTCAGCATCACGCTCTCCGGGTACCACACCCGCACCGCAAACAGCGTCGAGTGCCCGCTCGTGCCGTGGCTCACGCTCACGTTCACCTGCGCAGAGCCCATGTCCGTGCTGCTGCTCAGCTCCAGCCGCGCGCACCCGCCGCCAACGGCAACGGCGCCCGGCTCGTCGCTCACGCACGTCAGCCCGCTCGTCAGCGCCGGGCACCCGCCGCTCGACTTGAGCACCGCGCACACGCTCACCACGCTCGTGATCCCAACGCCGTTCAGCGGCACCGTGTTCACAAGGCTGCCCTGTCCGGCCCACGCAAACACCCCCATCACGCTGTCCTCGACAATGTACACAGCGCCAGCACCGCGCCGCGTGCCATCGCGGTCAACCGTCGTCGCCGCCGTCGGCGTCAGCAGCGGCTGCTGGCCCTTGCTGTCAAACAGCGACAGCACCGTCACAAGCACCATGCTCGCCTGGCTCAGCGGCGCGTCCCCAGTCACCCGCAGGTTCACCGTGCACAGCGCCTCCGCTCCCGGCGACGGGCCCGTCGGCCGCGACAGCGTGTCTGCCGGCCCGCCGTTGATCGACGCCGCCGTCTTGTCGTCATCAATCAGCACAGACGCCGTCCACACGTCCTCGTCATACACAATCGACTCAATCTCAACCTCCCCAGCCGTCGTGTCAATGCGCAGCTGCCACGTGTTGATGTAGTACTCTGCGTTTGCTTGCACGGGCACCGTGAACCGGTCGCCCCGGTACAGGTCGCGGTGCGGCACAACAGCAACAACGTCGCGCGACACCGTCACCTCCGGCGCCGGCCGCAGCGTCACCGTGCCTGCATCCACCGTGCTCCCGCTCCCGCGGATCCCGTACGCAAGCGACACCGTGCGGTCACCGTCCTGCCCCACAACCCCAAACCACGACAGCGGCACGCTCAGGTCAATCGTGCACTGCCCCGTCGTTGCTGTGGCGCATGACGCCGTCACAGCCGTCCCGCTGAACCCGACAGGCGTCGCCTCAAGGTCAACCCGCGCGCTCTCCGTGTGCGCGTCAAACCGCCTGTCCCGCACCTGCACGCGGCAGTGCACCGTGCGGTCGTCGTACCACACCACGCGGTCTGCGATCACCCCGGACACCGTCACCGCTGGCAGACGGTCCTGCATGTACGTGGCGCTGGCCGTTGTGTCTGCCAGCTGCACCCGCACTGTGCCTGACTGGCCCGTGCTGCCGTCCCAGAACTCGCCGATGGCGCGCTGGCTCACCTGGTTTGATACCGCGTATGTGTTGTTCAGGTAGAACCCCAGCCCAAGCGTGGGCAGGAACTCAACCGGCGGCAGCGCACCTGGCACGACCTTGACACAGACTCTGTCCGAGGTCGGCGTTGGAGGCGCGACCTCAATCTCGTCCGCCTGGCAGTTTCGGATCTCCTTGCAGATGCGGTTCAGGCCGTTTTCGCAATCGCGGTCCTGGTATTCGTCGTCCTCGCACACCCTGCATGCAGAGCACGTGGTGTTCTTGAACATGGTGCACGGGGAGGAGATGTATGTTTCTGTCGGGCAGGTTCCGCAACGCGCACATTTGGTGTTGGCGTCCTCTGTGCAGTTTCTCTCAATGAAAAAGCCTGGGTCGCACGTATCGCAGTCGTCGCAAATGGTATCCATGGTGTCCTGACACGGCACAAGGATGTACTGTCCGGAACCACAAGGGCTGCAGTTGTCGCAGAACCTGTTCTGAGTAGGCGTGCATGGCGTCACCTCATATTGCCCCATCAGGCACACTGAGCAGTTGGCGCACTCGCGGTTGGAAAAGGCACCGCACGGGGTTGTCTCGTACTGCTCGTCGCCGCAGATGTCGCAGAGCTCGCATTCGCGGTTCTGCGTGAGCAGGCACGGGCTGACTTCGTATTCTGTGGTTGCATTGCACACGCGGCAGTCCTCGCAGTCCGTGTTGAAGTAGGTTGTGCACGGATGCTGGATGTACTGCCCTGGGTCGCACGTGTCACAGTCCATGCACATGGTGGGTGCAAACTCTGTGCAGTTTGCGCTGACATATTCATCAGGGTTGCAGGCGCCACAATCACCGCAAACGGTAGGGGTGGTGTCCGTGCACTCTGCCACGATGTATTGCGACGAAGTGCAGTTGCCACAAGGAAGACAAAGCGTGTTGGAGTGTGGTGTGCAGGCTTGGGCCTGGTATGTGTCACCGATGCACACGTCACAGGCTGCGCATTCCCTGTTGGTGTCCATGGTACACTCCACAGTCTCGTACTCCGTGGCATTGCACACGCGGCATGCTGCGCACGTGGCTGCGGAGGTTGGCGTGGCTGGCACGACAACGTACTCGTCCATATCGCAAGGAAAGGAGCGGTGGCAGTTCTCTGACCCGAGCATGTTGTCGAACGTGTCGAGCGGATCATAGCCGCCCGAGAGGCGGATTGGAACACTGGTCTGGGGGTTGACGTTCAAGGTGAAGGACACGGTGCCCGTGTAGAGGAAGGGTGGGTCAACGCTGCCGCCGAGGATGCGGGTGGTGCGAGCGTTGCTGCCTTGGTCTGTCGCGTCTGTGGTGGCGATGAGAAGGGACACACCAATGTTGTCAAATGCAGACGGCACAGACGCCTCAATGAGGAAGGTGCCGTTGCCCACGAATTCAGCGCGAAGGAGAGCGCCGTTGAGGCCGGGCCCCTTGTTTCTGGTTTCCAGCTGCCCCTGCAGCAGGATGGTGTTGTTCACAAAGCCAGCAAACGCTGTGTTGGCAGACTCCAGGTCGAAGAAGACGAACGTGTTGTTGCCGTTGGCTGGGACGTCGCCGCCCTCAAACACGCGCGTCTGCAAGGTGACGTGGCACCCAGTGTTGTTGGAGACGGGCGTGATGGAGATGTTGTTGAAGAAGCGGTAGTTGCGGAAGTCAACGCTTGCAAGGTAGAACACGTCGTCTGGGTTGCGGTCGTTGTTGTGGTCAATGTCCAGGGCGTCGAGCTGCTCCTGCGTGAAGTCGCTGCCGTATGTGGGGTCGAAGATGAGGCGGGTGAGGTACTGCTGTGCAAACGAGGCATCGGCCAGGCTGAACACACCGTCCGCGTTGGCGTCGCCAAGTGGGTTGGTGCGTGTGCGGCGGCGAAGGCGGGTGAGCGTGGGTGCGGCGTCGATGATGGCTGCCGACATGCCGGCGCCATCTTCCGACCTGCGCCTGCGCGCCTGGCCCACGATCACTTCCAGGTCGGCCGCAACAGAGGGCACGCCGCGGAACGGACCAACGGGGTCGTTGTTGTCGTCGGAGAGCTCCACCACCTCACCCAGCAGCGGCACGCGCATGTCACGCGCCGCCTCCAGCACTCGCAGCGTGACGACTGCAATCTCGGCAGCCGACCCGGTGAAGGGTGTGGCAACGCCGCCCACATCCACAATGCCGGGTGGGTCGTTTGCAGTGAAGAGGAACGCACCACCAGGCCAATCTGCACCAGCCACAGCGCTGACAAAGTCGAGGTGGGCTGGGTCGTACTGCAGCGAGAGCTTGATGGCCTGCACAGATGCACTGCCAGTGTTGATTCGGACAGGGATGGCGACGGTTGCGCCGGGGACGGTGGGCGGCAAAGGCACGCCCTGTGTCTCGCCGGCGTCCATGTCGCCAAACTCCGGATTCAAGTTGCACGTGAAGGGCCTGCTCACGGCGAGTGTGGCGTTGTGCGCAGCAGCGATGGTCAGCGTTGCTTCCTCGGGGAGGTTGTCGTGCAGGAGCACGCGGCCGCCCTCCGACACGGAGGCAGCGATGGTGTCGAGGGAAAACGTGGCAAAGGCGGCGGAGAAGCGGAACATGTTGTTGTTCGGGAAGAGGAAGGACGCGGGCAGCTGCCGATCGTCGGAGAGGCGCACACCGAAGCGCACCTGGGTGGACCCCACGCCACGCATCCCAACAAGGAAATACGGCACGTCCACGTTGATAAACTCTGCAATGAGCACAGGCGTGCTCGACACAAGCACGCGCACCTTGCTGGCAGCAATGTCCTGGAAGGAGGCCGCAATGTCTGCGGTTGTTGCCGCTGTCGGTGAAATGCGCCCCGCGGGCGACACGGTGATGTTCGTGGCCGGCTCTGTGGTTGAGTTTGGTGCAAGTGCGCTGTAGCGGATGGCGGGCGCCGTGGTCACGTCGAAGGTGGGCCCGTTCAGCAGGGACAGCCTCGCTGTGAGCTGCGCCTGCTGGAACGTGCCCGTCCCGCCAATGAGGCTCAGCGTCGTCGCAGACAGCGCACTGGAACCAGGGTATGCCGGGTAGGGCGCCGTGGTGAGGGTGAGCGTGTCCGCGAGCGCAACGTCGATGCTGGCCGTCTGCGTGATGGACAGGTGCTGGAACGAGACGAGCAGCTGGAAGGTGCCAGAGCGGTTGGTGGCTGCCACGGCAAACCGGCTGCTGCCGGGGCCACGTGTGACAGTCAGGGCACTTGGATCCTGCGCAACAACGACGAGGCGGTCATCCAGGGAGAGGTCCTGCGTGCTATCATCCACGTACTCCACGACAACGGTCACGGTGGCCTGCGTGGCAATGCCAACGCCGGGAAGACTGGCGGCGTCGCCAACAGGGGTGATGCGGTTCACGGAGAGTGTGACAGCCACATCCCGTGGCGCGGGCAGGGTGACGTTGACGCTGGCTGTCGTGGCGAGGGAGAACACACGGTCACATGTTGCTGGGCTGGTCCAGTTGACGTACAGCACGGGGCCCACGCCGGTGCCCAGGGCCTGCACGGTGGATGCCTGCGAAGGCCCGCCAACCACGCCAAGCACCAGCGGGTTCAGGGTGCGTAGCTCAAAGTCTTGGGGTGAGAGCGTGTAGAGCGCGTCATCGGACAGGTGCAGGTCCACGCGCACGTGCGCCTGCTGGAACTCGCTGGTGAGCGTGTTCTGGATGGCAGCAACGGCGGTGCTGGTGTCCAAGGGGTCAAACGCACCAGAGCGCGCCTGAAGCGCAATCGACTCCACAACAGTGACGTCCAGACGGGCCGGCACCACGCTGTCATCGCTGACCTGCACGGGCGCAGCACCAAGGCGCACGCCAGCAGCAGAGAGCACGTGGATAAACGTGAAGCCCGTGTTCTGGCCCACAACGTTGCCCCGATCAAAGGCAACGACGCGTGTGTCTGTGGCCGTGAGGCGGGGTGCAGCGCGCGTGCTCACGTCAACGTCCAGCAGGAGCGCAGAGGCGTCGGTGAAGTTGGCCAGCACGGTCACCTCGGCGTGCTGGTACACGGGACCGAGGCAGTCTGGGTTGCTGTCAGGCGCCCATCCGTCCACCCTGTTGAGGACCGGGTCTGCGACCTCAATGCGCGGCTGGCCATCGAGCTGCCACACCGTGACCGTGGGCATGTCGCGCAGGAGCAGGCCGCGCTCCGACAGGGCGACGAAGATGGACGCTGGGCCGGCAAGCGTTTCGGTGCCGTCCAGGCGCACGGCGCTGCAGTCCACGGCCACGCGGACGCGGCCCGTGTTGGCGGACACGCAGGTGAGCCCACCAGACGTGACGGCGGTGAGGGCACCGTTGGCGGTGACGCGGTACACGGTCATGGCGCTGGTCACGGCAGCGTTGCTCACGGTGGCAAAGTTGAGCAGCTCTGCATTGGGGACCGCGGCGATGATGCCCGTGGGCACATTTGGCGTGACAAAGAGGTGTGCCGCGCCGACATGGAGGCCGCGGCGGTCAGCGGCTTGGGCAACAACGGGGGTGGTGGTGTCTCGCGGGCGAATCTTCTCCCCCTTGACGTTGCTGAGGAAGTTGATGGTGGTGGTCAGCTGCAGCGTGCTTCCCTCCAGCGCAGAGTTGTCAATGCGCAGCGACACGCGACACAGCTCCTCGTCCGCAAAGACCATGTCCGAGGGGCGCTCATCGGGGTTGGCCGGGTTGGCCACGATGGTGGCGCGGGAGGTGCCCTGTGTCTCCACGGTCGCGGCCCACGTCGCGCCATCGTAGGTGACGCCCTCAATGCGCAGGCCGGGCGGGGCATCGAAGGTCAGCTGGAAGGAGCGCACGGCATAGTCGCCCGCATCGCCGCGCACAACCGCCGTCAGCGTGGAGCCCACAAACAGGTTGTTGTTGGGAATGCCAACGACGACGTCACGGTCGTACGAGTAGGTGATGATGGGCTGGACCATGAGCACACCGATGCTCTGGAACACGGGCGCAGGCCCAGCCAAGGCAGCCTCCACGGTGGCGTTGCCGCCCACGGTGAACCATGCTGAAGGGAGCGTCGTGCGCAGCCGACAGCGGGCAGTGGTCGTGCAGGTGGTCTCCACGGTTGTCGGGTCTGCGCCTGCCAGCTGAGGGCCCGGAAGCACGCGCAAGATGACCTGTGCCGAGGCCGTGAGGGCGTTGCCCGCGGCGTCGTACACCTGTGCACGCGCATCCACGCGTGGGTCGTCCGGCCACACGTCGCCCGTGCCAGCAAGCACGATGCGGACACTGGCCGCGGGCTGTGGTGTGTGGCGTGTGCTCACGCTTGCGGTGACGGGGCCAAGCCCAACTGTCAGGCTGCCTGCGGCGTTTGGGGCGGAGGCAACGGGAGCACCGTACTCGATGGTGGTTGCGTTGTCCTCCGTGCGACCAAGCAGGCCAAACGTGAGCAGGTTGATGGCCTCTGTCACGCGGATGAGTGGTGGCACGTACGCGGCGATGGTGCCGCATTGGCGGTCGCTGGTGTTGGTCGGCGGTACGCGCTCGTACTGGTTGACGGTACAGTTTGTGATGTACTCACAAATGCGGTTGGACGTGGCGGTGGGTGCCTGCTGCTGGTACTGCAGCTCGTTGCACTCGCGAACGCGCCGACACACGCGGTCTGTGGTGTTGGTGGGCGGCCGCAGCTCAAACTCGCCCGGCCCGCAAACAGTCTCGATGTCCAGCACGAGCGGGGCATCAATGGCGCCGAGCACGGTCTCAGCCGCAAAGGCAAGCGGCAGCGCCGTCTGTACGGTGGTCGAGCTGTTTGCGTCAAACACCTGCAGCATGATGGTATCCGAGGTGGACGGCAGGTTGCTTGCGCACGCCAGCTGGAACCATGGCTCGCCTGTTGGCCCGATGGACAGGTCTGCGGCGTTGATGACGCCATCTGCGTCCACGCACGCAAGCCGGCTTCCCAGCTGCTGCACGTAACTGAGGTCGCTCTTGTAGCGCACTGTGGCATGCACGATCATTGCATAGCGCAGGCCAGGGCGCGGTGTCCACATGGACGCCTCGCGGCGATGGCGACGATGGTGCTGCTGCATGTGCTGCTGATGCTGCTGATGCGAATCAGCAAACTGCGCAAACAGGGGTGCTCTTGAGCCAGCAACGGACGACCCCAGCAGCTGCATGGCGGCGTGCTCGCCGTCACCACGCGCAGGCTGCGTCAGAGCCTCTTCTGGTGTCTCCGAGGCGACGCGGCAGTGTACGGGGCGGTAGGCGGCGCCTGATCCGTGGAGCAGATCGATTGAGGTGGCTGGAATGCACTCCAACACACCATCGCCGCCATCGCCTGCAGTGGAGACGGTGGGCGATGCCGTGTGTGGGCGCTGCACCTCAAACCGGAACTCACAGCCGTGGCGGGCATGTGTCTCGAAACGAGACTGCGCTATCATGGGAATCTGAAATGTGGGTCCAGCAGGCCCATCCGCAAGCAGGGCAACAGCAACACGCACAGCGCCGCACACGACAGCCAGCTGCGTCCCATCATCTGTCACGGGCCCAAACTCGTCCAGCACCTGTACGTATGTCGTCGCGAGCACAGTGTCTGGGGAAAGTTGGATGCTGGACAGGGCATCGATTGCCGTTGATGTGAAGTCATCCGCCCCAAACGTGTGTTGTTGTTGTTGTTGTTGTTGTTGTTGTTGTTGTTGTTGTTGTTGTTGTTGTTGTTGTTGTTGTTGTTGTTGCTGTTGGTGCTGCGAGGGAGGGGTGTTGCCGGTGGCTGATGCGGGCGCAGACACGGAGAGCGGGATTGGACGGAATGCATGTCCGTGCGTGATTGCTGACCCGTCTGCGTCGCTGGGTAGCGAAAGCGTGTCCTCCACAGCGAGCACGCGCTGGGTGTCCGCATCCAGCACTGCAAACTGTAGCAGCAGCTGCTGTTGCTGCTGTTGTTGCAGCTGCTGCGATGCTGATGCTGCTGGTGCTGGTGCTGCTGTGGAAGGGGCTGGCACGACCGCCGTGATCATGAACATGGGGCCGGCGGGCCCATCCGCAACGTAGGTTGCGTTGATGAAGGTCGCGGATGACGCTGACGTCATCAAAGGGTCGAGCAGCCACACGGAGAGGGCGGAGCCATGCGCGCTGATGAGGTTCCCATCCTCAAACACTTGCGCAAAGATGGTGACGGTGGTGGTTGCACGTCGATGATCGGCAGCAGCGTGCACGCGGCCTTGCTGCTGTGGGTGTTTCTTCGAGCTCACCAGCCACGCGTCAGAGCCCGTGCTCAGCACAGCTGGCTGCTGCTGTCGCTGGTGCTGCTGTTGTGACGACTGTGGTAGGGTGTGCAGGGACTGGCTTGTCCACGCAGCTGCATCACCAATGTCAAACTCGCCCAGAGCACCAGCAGCCGAGCTGCCATAGCCCAGGTCGCGGCGGCGGCGGCGGCGATCATCGCTGGTGTCGCTGGAGTTGGAAGCTAGGACAAGGGTGGCTGGTTGCTGTGCAAAGAGGACGTAGCCAACGCCTGGGATGAGGTGGTTGCTGAGATCTGTCGACGTGTACCAGGTACCGTTGAAGAAGGTTGCCGCGCCTCCGTTCTCCGGCTGGCTGAGAATGGCGGTGTTGTCAACGAGACCGGGAAAGTTGGCAAAGGCGGTCTGGATTGGCGTTTGCTGTGGCAGCGTGATGCCAATCCTGTTTGGACCGACACTCAGGCTCAGGCCTGGGTCTGGTGACACGGGCACGCCGAGGACGCACCACTCGCTGGTGTTGGTGGCGGCGGTGCTGAGATCAAATCGGCGAGCGTACACGGAAGGGAAGGCGTCGAGGTTCTCCCACGTGCCGGAAGCGTTGAGGGTGGCCGTGACGGCCCCTTCGCTGCTGATGAGCATGTCGCCAGCAACAGCAGCCCCCAACGACGCCAGAAACTGGGCGGAGATGGTGTTGCTGTCTTCGGGGAGCACGTGCAGGCTGAGCCAGTTGTAGTTTGGCGTGATGGGAAGGCACTGCTGCACGAGGTCTGTGCATTCGCGGTTGCTGGTTGGTGTCGGTGGCTGCAGCTCGTACTCCTCTGGGCCACACACGCGCAGGGGCCGACACACGCGGTTCTGGTTGTCAGCGCATGGCGACTCCTCAAACTGCGTGGCGTTGCAAACGCGGCAGGGAACACAGGAGCCGGCGAGCAGGTAAAACTCGTCCGGGCAGAGCACTGGCGTTGGCGTTGGCGTCGGCGTAGACACAAGCGCTGACGACGTGGGCGTTGGTGTCGGGGACGGCGCAACAACCGTTGTGGTTGGTGTTGCAATCAACGTCGACGGTGCCGCAATGGAGGTGGAGATGGATGGCGAGGGTGCCAGCGTGGCGGAAGCCGACGGCGAAGGCGTAGGTACGAAGGAGAAGCTGGACGCTGCCGGCGTTGGTGTTGGAGACACGGTTGCGGACAAGAGCGAAGATGGCAAGGGCACCACCGTGCTGGAGCTCGACGGCGCCAACAGCGTGCTGGAAGGCACCGGCGTTGGCAGGGGCGTGCTGCTGTCTCCAACCTGGCGCCTCATTCGCTGTTGCGAGTGTTCTTCCAGTGCTTGCAGCCATTCGCGCGAGTTGCTCTGAGCACCGCCCTGAAAAGCAGCGCCGCCAACATAGGCTTCTCCAGCATGGCGACGCGTGTCGCCCAGGTGCATGCTGCTCGACAGTTGTTGCTGTTGCTGTTGCTGTTGCTGCTGCTGCTGCTGCTGCTGCTGTTGCTGCTGCTGCGGTGGTGGTGGGCTGGCGACAGGCGATGGCCTGGGCCCGCTGCTGGCGGCCAGCGCCATGCATAGGCGGTCGCTTGTCGGTGTGGGTGGAGACAGCTCAATCTCCGTCCAGCCGCAGGTGGACACGTGCGCACATGTTCTGTCTGATGACGCCGTGGGCTGAGCAAGCTGATACTCCGTGCCCGGCGCACACGTTGTGACGGGTGCGCATGCTTGCAAATCGATGCTCCAAAACTGCCCAGGCGAACACGGCGCTTGCGTGTCCTTCTTAAGAATTGGGCTTTGGGCAAGCACATGGTGTTGCTGCGCCGCCGCGGCAGCAGCAGCAGCAGCAGGAACCTGCATCAAAGCCGCTGGCCCTGTCGCCAGAAACAGCAGGAGCAGGGCCACGATGGCAGGGCCAAGACTCGAGCGCCCGAAGCGTGGTCGCTGGTGCTTGTGTTGTGGTTGCTGTTGCTGGTCATGCTTGTGATGTTGCTGCTGCTGTTGTTGTTGTGTTCGTGCTTGTGGAGATGCCATGTGTGGTGGACATAGTGCGTGGTGATGAGGTTCAACGCGTTGTTGCACGTGTTGTAGTTGCATGTGTTGCAGCTGCGGGTGTTGTGTTTGTGTTTGTGAATGAACGTCTGTTGTAACAGCGTGATGCACCCGATGCATTGCAGGCAAGCATGCATGGCTGCATGCACGGCCGTGCATGTGACGAGGGGCCGCTGCCTTTTCTGTTCGTTGCGCGGCCCCTGGCCTGCTCGGGGGATGGGGGTGCCTTGAGCTGTCGCGGCGCGTCATCGTCTTGAACCAACGCGCTCGCGGAGTCAAGGCCAGACGAACAGACGGCAGCAAGGCTGGCTTGCTTGCTTGCGAGCGGGCGGGCGTGCTGTCAACAGCTCGCTGCGCTATCGGCTGTGCTGTTGTCGTCCTGTGTGTCTGTGGTTGTGGTGGATTGCGGCAAATGGAGAGCCCAGGATCCGCTCAAGGAGGGATGAAGGTGGGAAGATCGTGTGCTGCTCAAAGTGTGTGTGTGTGTATGTGTGTGTATGTGTGTGTATGTGGTTGGGAATGCTGCTGTGTTAGCACAGAGAGAGAGAGTGTGTGTGTGTGTGTGTGTGCGCGTGTGTGTGGTTGGAGTCCTGCTGTGTCAGCAAAGAGAGACGGAAAGCACACACGAAGACACGAAACGGCACGCGGTTTGTCGGGAGTGCAAGGCGATTTTGTCACCTGCGCTGTCCGTGCGCCTGCCGTCTTGGGTTGGCAGAGATCGTTTACACTTGGTGCCTTGGCTGATACTATCCTCTTGTACGTCCCTAGCTGAGTCTTCTCCTGCTTGCTCGCTCGCTCGCTTGCTTGCTCGCTTGGTGGCAACAATCAATGGGCTGTGGTGGCTGGGTTGCTTTGTGGATGAAGACCAGCCTGCGCGGAAGGCGAAGCGCGGAAGAGAAGCAGAACAAGGGTGATTGGGGCGTGGTGGTGGCTGATGTGCGAGGGAGCGCGGTCTTTGTTGCAGTGCGGGCTCTGCTGCTTTTTTGCTTGCACGCATTCGCGGCCGCTGGCCCAGTTTCAATGTAAGAAAGTCTGCCTTAACTTCTAACAACTTTCGTGTCGGTTACTTTTGTTATTTTTTCGTATTCTGCGTAGCCGCAAGCTTCGTCACAGCAGGGCTTCTGATGGCGTCCGTAAGGGGGGATGAGAGCGCGAGCAAGCACCAGAGCATCAGGAGGCAGAATCGACTGCGTTCACGCTGTGTCACGAGGCTTGCTTGTGTGTTCTCTTGTGTGCTTGTGTGTTCCCTTACGCGCCCCACTGCGCATGGCATTCCCTTGGTTTCTCTACTTTATTTTTTCTCATCGTTTGTTTGTTAATCACGCACACGCACACGCACACGCACACGCACACGCACACGCACACGCACGGGCCGTCGCTATCACAGGCAAACTCCAAAGCCGACGCACTGAAATACCCGGCACAAACGAAACGGCTTTGGCGTTGTCGCCACCGACATCACCACCACCACCACCACCACCACCATCATCATCATCATCATCATCTACAGCAATCCAAAACGAGATGGCAAGGCACAAGGAGAAGGAGCAAAAGAGGCATGGGCAGGGAGACAAAAAGAGGGACAAGGGGGCAGGTCCACTCAAACAAAGCCCGTGGTGAGGGAGGGAACTCAAAAGGTCGGGGGAACGAAGAAGCACCACACGATGATCACCATGCTGTCAATTACACCTTGACCGTGTATTGCACCTTACGTGGTCCACGGCGTGCTGCACCACCCCTGATTCAACAACCATCGAACATGGCATCAGCAAAACACTTGATGGTGGTGGTGGTGGTGGTGGTGATGGTTGTTGGCTGCTGTTGGTTGTTGGTTGTTGGCTGTTGTTGTTGTTGTTGTTGTTGTTGTTGTTGTTGTTGTTGTTGTTGTTGTTGTTGCTGTTGTTGTGGTGGTGGTGGTGCTGCTGTTGGTTGTTGGCTGTTGTTGTTGCTGTTGTTGGTGAAATGGAAGGTGCAAGACAGGACAAACACCATGCAACTGACTTTGATTTGGTGGGCGCGACTGCCGTTGCTGTGGGCGCGGCCTCCTCAACCTGCAAATACATGGGCCGGCCTGTGCAAAGAAACGCAAGCACAACCAAGGTACCCTGTGCGTGAGCACACGCGACATTCTGATAATAATGCTGACTGCAACAGAGCACGTGGATCCGTCGACGAACGCGATTGGACAAATAAGGCAGACCACGCTGTGCAACACACCATTGCCGAACCAACACACACACACACACATGCACAACACAAACAAACACACACACACACACACAAACACAACACAAACACACACACACATACACACACGCACACACCCCTCCCCCATCCAAACACACACACATCGTACCATCGAGCTTGACTTTGTTGTATGTGGTCTGTGCCTTGACGGCATCAACCCGGCGCGAGAACACAACCTCGGCCACGCCAACCTCAGGCATATCCACACGCTTGAGCGGGCCGCACTCCTGAAACAGCTCGCGCATGTCCTCCTTGGTCACAGAGGACTCAAGGTTGGTCACAAGCAGCTTTGTGCCTGTGGTGAGCCCGTTTGATCCCAGCTTCTTGGCAAGGGTGCCGGTGGTGCTGATGTTTGCTGCAGGCAGGAGCATCTCCCGCAGATCGCTGCTGTGTGCGGCGCCGCGTGCAACGCGAGGGGCTGGCTGTGTGCGGCCGCCCTGGAACAGGTCGTGCTGCCACTTGTCTGGCATCGTCCGGGCACCCTGCACAGCACAAAGGTGGTGCAGGGAACAGGACGTGAAAGAGGATGGGGTGGGGTTGAGTCAATGATAACGACGCAAGACACAGAGATTGTGTGTGTGGGGGGGGGGGGGCGAAGGTGGACAAACACGAAAAGCGGAGGAATGAGCAGAACACTGCGTTTCAATCCAAGCAACGCACAGGAACGAGCACACACACACACACACACACAACACAACACAACATGCACACAACACAGCACAACACAACACAACACAACACGCACACAACACAACACAACACACATACCGGTGAGCGTGGTGTGCCTCTGCGGGGTCGGCCAGCGCCTCGGATGGAAACGGGCCGCTGTGTGCCAACAATAGGTGTGACACGAGGAACAGCAGCGCCACGGCCAGCGCCACGACCGCCACGGCCACGACCGCGACCGCGGCCACGAGCACCGCGTCCACGGGTGCTGGTTGTGCGGGTGGCCTTGCGCTGTGCGCTCTCCTGCTTGATCAGGTCATCCAAAGACTTGCCGACATCCATGGCTGGTTGGTTGGTGGGTTGGTTGGCTGGTTGGTTGGTGTTCTCTGGTGCTACGATTTACGCGAAAGCAAAGGCAACGGTGTGCAGCAACGGTGTCCTTGTTGCCCTGTGTGCGTGCGTGTAGTGGTAGTTGGTGTTGCGTGTGTGTGCGTGTGTGTGTCTGTACGTGTGAGGACGTTCGCTGCCGGTGCACGTGGGAGCAAGCGGAGAAACAGCCGGAAGCAGCAGCGCAGGGGCTGTTGCCAGCCCCAGGCGATGGCTGATGCCGTTACAATTGAGGCTGCCAGCAACCGCGTGTCTGCGATGCGTGTTTCATATGGCTGGCCATCGTCCCAAAGCCCAAGAACACCAGCAGCACCAGCAACACCAGCGACGCATGGTGCACTCTCCAACAACGCACACGCGTTCGCCAGCAGCAGCACCCTCCACCTCCCTCCCCCCTCTCGCACACACACACACACAGACACAGACACGCACCGAAGGGGGTGGTCGTTCGTCGTAGTGGTCGCGGTCGGTGTGTGTGTGTGTGTGTGTGTGTGTGTCGTCGTTGTCGTAGCAGTGGCGTCGCTGTTTGTGTGTGTGTGCTTGGCTGCCCGCACCCAGATGCGCCAAAGCGTTCAATTGAGCAGGAGAGCCAAATCCGTCAACATCATCATTTGGAGGTTCTCGTTTATGTCAAGCACAAAGAATCGGCCTTTTCGCAATTTTCTCTCGCTGATTTGTGCGGTTTGGCCACGAGAAATTATCCGCTGCCTTTTTCCTCGTGTGTGCCTCAACCCTGCCATCCGCCACCACACCACCAACAAACGTGAGTGCCTTGCCTGATGTGCGTGGCGGCTGTGCCGCATGCGTGCTGGATGCTGATGCGAGTGAGGCCAAGGCACCGTGGAAGAGAGGATGCGTGGGGGACAGGAAAGTGGGGTTGGTGGGAAGCAGGGTCGACAAACGGGGCACCACGCGAACGCACAGCTCAAAGACGACAACAGCAGCGGTGGTTTGATTGATCCATGAGCGGTCCACGCGGTGCCATGTGTGTGTGTGTGTGTGGCGATGCTGCACACTTCAAGACACATGTGCACAAGTGTACATGGGATCATGAGCGGGTGGCTGATGCAGGAAACGGCAGCAGCTTCGGGGATTGGTGCATTGCTATATCCATGCCCCTGCATGTGCATGTGTTTTGATGTTTGTGGGGTTGTTAGCTGTTGTGCCACTTCTTGGCAGAGGTGATTTTTTGATTGGTTGCCCCTCTGGCGTCGTCTCACCCACCTTCTCACGCACGCACGCACGCACGACTGCTGTTTGCTGTCTGTTGCTTCCGTGTGTTCTGCTCTTTCTTGTTGTAGCGCCACCATGGTGCAGCGTCTCACATACCGTCGCCGTCACTCCTACAACACCAAGAGCAACCGCACGCGGGTGTAAGTGCCATTGCCTGCGTGCGTGCTCGTGTGCGCACATGTGTGAAAGTGTGTGCTCATAGATGTTGTGCCTGTGCCTGCTACGTGCGTGCTGTCATCATGTGCTGACAACTCTCTCTGTCTCTCGCTGCTGCCGCCGCCGCTGTTTGTTGTGTCGTTGCTTGCGCAGTGTGAAGACCCCCGGTGGTCGCCTGGTGTTCCAGTACCGCAAGAAGCAGGGTTCCATCCCCAAGTGCGGTGACTGCCACTCCACCCTCAGCGGCATTCGCGCCATGCGCCCCTACCAGGTGAGCTTGCTTGAAGGCGGGGAGAAACATGGGGCGACGCAGAGGGAGGGAGCGGGAAGCGAGGACAAGGAGTGGGTGGTGATGCCG